GCTTACAACAACAACAACAACAACAAACAACAAACAACAAACAACAAACAACAAACAACAAACAACAACCAACAACCAACAACCAACAACCAACAACCAACAACCAACCACCAACCACCAACCAACAACAACAACAACCAACAACAAACAACAAACAACAAACAACAAACCACAAACCACAAACAACAAACAACAAACAACAAACAACAAACAACAAACAACAACCAACAACCAACAACCAACAACCAACAACAACAACAACAGCAACAGCAACAGCAACAGCACCAGCACCAGCACCAACACCAACACCAACACCAACAGCACCAACAACAGCACCAACAACAACACCAACAATAACACCAACAGCAACAGCAACAGCAACAGCAACAGCACCAGCACCAGCACCAGCACCAGCACCAGCACCAGCAGCAGCAGCAGCAGCAGCAGCAGCAACAGCACAGCAGCAACAACAGCACAGCAGCAACAAAAACAACCACGACGACGACAACGACAACCACAATTACAACAACTGGCGACGACGACGACGACGACGACGACGACAGCACCAAGACCACAGCAACAACACAAAAGAACAACAGTAATGGCAGCAACAGAAACAAAAGAGCAAGGTCAAGCGGGAAGCCAAAAAGCCAACTGTTTTGTCGGCAGTGAGGAGAATAGAAGCCTGCGTAATGTTGCATGTCTGAGTTTGCTGTCAAGCAGAGTCAATATATCAATCCAGAGGCTTCTGGACGAGTTCACGTTGGTGTTTGAAGCTTCAGGGTTTGGGGGTTTACGAGTGGTTTAAGGGTTTAGGGTCCTAGCTGCTGGAGGGGAGCTGCTGGAGGGTTACTTTGCTGTCTTGTGGAGTTTCCCGGCTGGTTGCGAGAGTCCTGGATGCAAAAAGGGTTCAGGACCTCGAACAGTGACAGCCGTACCTACACGGGGCCCACATCCCGAGAAAATTCGCGTAGATGAACCGATACAAGCTGCCCCAAACGAGGACAAACATGCTTCGACTTTTCAATCCTCAACCTTCGATGGGTCAGTTCAGCATGTCATGGGGGTAGAAGTCTGACCCGATAACACAACCTCCCGCTGCGGCTCCCTGTGCTCTCTCTACCGTACCACATGTGGATCGCAAGGCAGTCGCATTGGTGATTAGCAACACTGCCTTAGCATGACGAATTGTCTAAGGGAGTAAGACGACCGAATGTCGGTCCTCTTCTTGGACGAGGCAGAATCGTATCAGAGCAGCAGCAGCAGCAGCGGCTGCTGAAAATGGGTATAGCCTTACCAATGCAGCCTTGTTCACAACGGCGTCCACAGCTCCCCAGCCCCGTCCCTGTCTATGGCAGCGTCGCCCCGCAAACGCTCGTCGCCCCGTCCTCGTTTGGCGCATCTTGCGGCCTCCACAGCAGCCTTCCGACAGCTTTGCCCGCTTCCCCAGCCCCGTCCTCACCGGCGCTACCCCGCGAACGCTCAGCGGCCCACAGCCTCCCCGCAGTCGCAAGCGTCACGCCGCGAGCACACCCTGCGAAACACGTGACCGGTGCGACAGCCTCGGCACCCAGAGCCTTCCCTAACCCCATCCACACGGTGTCGTGGACGCTTCCTCTTCGCTAAAAGGGCTTTCCCGTCCGCGGAAAGGTTCGGAAGTGAACGCTGCCCCACGGGAGGACTGACGAGACAAGAACCAACCCCTACGGGGTTCTAAGTCACCATCACCAACAGAACATCGGCCCGAGCGATGGCCGAACGAACAAGTCAAGAGAAGTAGATTGGGCACTTTGCGCAGGGTTGGTGGTCGGTTTGCCTGAAGCATCGGATCAAGCTGTAGTTGCTGAGTTACAGTTTTCTGCACTTGGCACATCTTGGCACTGAAGGTTCGGGCGCTGCAGCAGAGCATGCCTCCACTCTCCGAACAAGTTCTGCTCGGAGCTCCGGGCTAAGTCTGAGATGAGAAGTCTTGAGCCAGCATTGGCAAATGTCTGCAGCCTCGGAGGTGCCGCCTGCTGCGGTGACGGATGAGGCCACCGGCACAGGAAGGCACCAGTTTGCATTGCTGAGTCAATGCGAGGATTATTCCGACGATGTAGGTGAATCGGCAGCAGGCCCGGATTCATGCCAAGAACCGTCAGCCTCGCTGAGACTCTTGTGACTTCCTTTCTGAAAGTCTGTTTCGTATGTTTCGTGGGCGACCGCGATGAACGTAAAAGAATACATGTCCTGCGAGCTGCAGGCTGAGTATATAGAGCACGCAGGAGTTCGGCAATGAGCCAGGGCAGAAATTGAATGTGTTTGTGCATGTGTCTTCTCTTATCATACTCCAGATTTTGCACGGACCGCAGTTGGGCGTGGCATGTTTCTGGACATTATTAAAGAATTAGTTTTCGTGGAGGGGCCCATGCCAAACTTCTTGGATAATCCAGCCACTGACTATAGGGGCGGCCTGGTTGGTAGTGAATTGAAGGCAACAGCTAGGTCAGATTCGATGCAGCCACGATATACAGCAGAACCTCCTCCAGAAAAGCAGTTGTGCTTGAACGGCGAGAGCTGTCGACCTTGCTAGGAAAAGGCACGAATGCTTCTTGCAGAACTTCCACCCCCACATGGTCCGTTTTGGTTTTGTGTTCTCAGTCTCGGGCAGGCCTGGAATGTCCCGCAGGTAACAATCTTCGGCTGCAGAAGACGGGATGTTTTGGATTGAGTGCACTGGCGAGAGGATGCATGGGGCAGCCTCCCAACTCCGAGCATGATTGTTGAGGGTCTCCAGTTGCAACTCTAGAGTTGCTTGCTGCAGAACCAGAAATCACAATTCCGTTGGCTTTGTGGCCGCAGCGAAGCGCTGACACCTAATTGCAGAAGCAGAAAGTAGTTAGGATTGTTGGACCGTTGGGACGAGAGGACACGGACCCTTGCTTGAAGCAGTGTGCCAACATCGAGAGCTTCCTGGGAGCAGATTATTAGATCGCTTATGCTGCGCGCTCTCCGCGATGCCACTTCTCCCGCCTAGCGCGACGGCTTTTTGAGCCATGCGACGCAGAAGAGGAATGCTCTCACATGGGCGGACTGGCACGCAACGCTGTACACAACTCAGTCGCGGCTTCGGTATTTTGGGGGGGAGGGGGGTTTTGCGGGAATTTGGGTCTCCGGCCCCCGTAGCCACACCAAAGCAGTACAGAGAGAAAAGAACAAAGTACTCTGTCACACACCACTGCACTAAACTCCGTGGCCCAGCACCTGTGGTGTGATGTGCCCTTTCTTTTCTCGTCCTGCCAGAATTGCGAAACGTCCGACTGCACTGTGTGCCAAGCTTTTCCAAGAATTCATCTGCCAACAAATGCTGGGCCTCTCCAGGAAGCACTTCGACGGCGACTGCAATCGACGACTTCTTGGTATCCAAAGCAGCGGAAGCCTAAACTGACTATTTGCACACAGGCCCCAGTTTTCGCGTTGTTCGCAGTCAGTTGCGGATGTTTCAGGTGATTCCACAGGAGTTGGGAGCTGAATGCTTGATGTAGGCAGCGCACAGCATAGTCACGGAGTTCCCAGTTGCGTGCCATCCAAGACCCCCCGCGACACACATCGGACTGATGCCACTGCCGGATGCCCAGCGCCGCCCGGCCCGGTGTGCTCGAAAAGCAATCAGAGCACTGACCGAGGCGAAACCACCGGTCATCAGCCCCAGCTCCAACTTCCCAGGCACCTGTTGCGGAGCAACCGGTAGAGCATCACGAGTACTCGTAATGCGGATGCCATGCGCATGTGAGGTTGCGATGCCCACCGTACTTCTGGTGGTTGTTGCAACCTTAGATGGCTGCATGGATCTTGAAACCAACCCGACTGCTGCGCGTCGGCTGCTTCAAGATTTCACCGAGAAGTGTAGCAGAGCAAAAGGACGGGACTACGATGTGGCACCACGAAGCACCCACATCAGCGCAAGACTGCAGACTGCAGCTGCACTTGTCTTGCTCTGATGGAGAGCTCACTGAGCGCCCTGCTCTCATGCCATGACCAGCATTTAATCTTCAATCGCGGGGTGGTGGCCGCTGCTGGCACACGGCTGGACCAGGACACTGCTTTAAGCACTGGTGCGGTTCTCAAGGTTGCATCGAGTCATAGCCATAGCGGATATTATATGGTAGCACACAAAGAAGTGTTCCGAGAAGCTGTATTTTTTCACCCAGTGGTGCAGGTAGCGCAACAATACGCAGATGATGCTCCACCTGCTTGGCAACAACAGCGCATCAAGCGAGATGGTCAGCATGTTCATATGACATTCCTCAGCAAGGGCGATCTGCAGTTCTTAATGCAGAGCGGTATGGTGCACGTGCAGGCTGAGGTGTGGGAGGAGGCTGGAGCCACAGCACCCGATCCAACAGATATCTTGGCGGTGTCTAACTCGATTGCCCTGGTCCTCTCAAAATTGCCGCGGTGCTGGGACTGGGTTGACGTTGGGACGGGCTTCTGCAAGGATGAGTGTGGGGAGACGGTGTTCCGTGTTGTGCTTTGGCCAGCTGCTGCAGCTGTTCGAAAGAAGCTAGGGTTGCCAGCAAAGGATTTCCACATTACCTTGGGCTTTCAGGGCAGCGATGTCCACTCAAAGGCCAAAGGACTCACATCCCTGCGAGCAGCTCCAAGCAACGCCGCGTCACAGCGCTTAACGACTGAGGCATCTCTTCTGTTATCTACAGTTTCTGCTGATGCTTTTTCACTGTACCAGGACAGCGTGGAGCAAGTTACATCTGCAGCGTTGCTGGGTGCAAAAAATGAAGCCTTGGAGGTCGAAGCATTGAGAGTGGCATGCTTGTTCTACGGACGAGTGAAGAGCTTCGATCAAGTTCTAGCATCGTCGGACCGTTTGCTCCAGCTCCAAAGCGAAGACGAAACGGGCTGTCGAAGCCGTGCTTTTGCTTTGGTTATGCTCTCCCGCTATGAAGAAGCAGTTTCTGCTCTTGAGTTGGCAAAGAGTCAGCTCCACATGTTGCCTCCCGGACAGCATGAAGTCGAGCACGCCCGTGTATTGAAAGCACTCTCGCACTGTCAGAAGAAGCTGGGCGCCGGCTACCCTGCGCTCGCGGGCAGCGCAACGAGTTTGAAAAACTGTCTTGCAGAAGGTGTCGGCAAGGCGAATTACCCAAAGACACCGCATCTTCCCTTTTCTCCGGGCATAAATCCCGACGACACACGCACCTCAGACTGCCAAAAAATTCTGTCACGAGAAGTCGTCATAACAGAGAAGTTGGATGGCGGCAACTGTTGCATCAAGGCAGATGTCGCAAGGCAGCGGCTGCAGGTTTTTGGCCGGACACACGCACAGCCAACCGAGCACGCATCCTTTTCGGCAGTGAAAGAGCTGGCTTCGTGTCTCGAGTACGATCAACTGGGAGATGTGGAAATCTTCGGAGAAAACATGCAAGCCATACACAGCATCGAGTACGGCAACCTCACGAGTTACTTCTATGCTGCCCGGACATACACTGGAAAGGATCATGCTTGGTGACTCAAGTATACAGTAGGCCCAGTAGGCATTTCAACTTTGGAGTTCCGTCGTGGCAGTGGCACCCGTTGAGGTCTTCGCGGCACGGAGAAGTGGGGACTGGCTGTCTTGGGACGAAACTCGGGACCTGGCTAAGAGGCTTGGGCTGGCGACAGTGCTTTGGACGGAATGGAACTTGCTTGAGTGCTACATAAGGCTGGTGAGCATGCAGTAGGAGCTGCGTGACGACACCATATACTGTTGTTGCATTATATATATATATATATACATACCTGTAGCTGCCTTTGGCAGCAGGAAAACTGCAACCAAGAAGCACCTGGCTTGGCTGTGCTAGTACCCTACGAGCGCTTGGCACAGCGTCACATATCCAGGCAGCAGAGAAGTGTTCTCAATACATTCAGTAAATAAGTGCAGGACATCCTTATCTGGGAGAAGTATACTCTAGTTACTAGTTCTTTAGTTCCACAAGAAATGTGAAGGGCTGTCGTGTTTTTGCAGCGCTTCGATTGGAATCCTAAGCTCTTTTAGGGCGATGACATCCAATGACAATGGCATCAAGACAGGTGCCTGAGGTTTTTCGTGGGGCTCTTTCTGAGAGAGAACTTCAATGCTGCCTGGAGCAGTGGCAGATGGACCCGTCAGCACTAGATGCGCAAAAGACTCCGGAAGGCGGGGCATGCGTGGCCATGCTGTGTCTTTGTTCGCCTCTAGCCATTTCGGTGACAGAGCTTGTTCTGCCTCGCGCGTTCTTCATCGCTTCTTCCGAGCGCAGCAGAGACTTGTGTGGTTTTCTTGTTGTTCTTACTGCGATAAGGAAACACCCGACCGCGAGCATGAAAGTGGCTGTTTCGTGGTTGATCTAGCTTGGGAGCCGAAGGGACTGGACTTTGGACAAGAGACTGTCGAGCTAATCTCCAGCGCCCCCCGGCGACGCCAATCGGAGTTTGCAGTTGCATGACGGAGCAAAAACCCTAGTCAAGCCCCGGAGGCATCCAGATGGCAAGAAGAAGCGTTTCGAGCAGAAAGTAATCCATACCACGAATGTCGCCCAGAGCCCATTTCCCAGTGCTCGTGTAATGCCACGGAGGAACTCCAGCCAGGAATGCCAAAATCTCGAAGAGTCCAATCCCTCGGCATGAGCTACTCGAATCCATGTGGGAGGGACGGAGTGAGCACTAAAAGCTGTCTGACCGTCTATGAGTTGACATACATGGAAAGCGATGGAACTCAAGTCCATATGATTTCTACATCGGACATGAGCATGCCGCATAATTTCTTACCGTGTGTTTCTGGTTCGGACAACAGATGTTTGGCAGGCTTTGTGGTTAGACATGCAGCTGGAATTCCCGGCGGGTCGTTTGCTGAATGTATCGGGAAGTTCGTCCGGGCAAACCATATCCAGACAGACGAGTCGTGGAAACGGACCTGGAAGAAGGCATGCCTCGGCGAAGAGATGCCACATCAAGTAAAGGCAGTTCCCTGTCGCGGGACAAGTTCATGAGCTGAACGCGCGAAAAAGCGCATGTTGCACAGCGTAAGAGCAGCAACGTGCGCGGCACGGTGGTCTTGTACAGTGTACAGATGATGCCTGCTCAAACGAGCATGCACCAGTTTTTGGATCGCCCTACGTTTATGATGTGTCCAGAACCACACCAAGATTGAAACACATTGGTAAACTTCATGTCGTGAGAGGCTGCACATAGTCGACGCGTTCATGTTGATGTGCAGCTACTGAGTGAGCAGAACGTGTGTCATCTCATGCTGAGGACTGCTTGCGAAAATTTGTTGCTAAGCCTATCGGCCCGCCACTACGTGTTAAGTCGCCGAGGTTCAAGCAGACGGCGACATTTGTTTGTACACTGTGTTTGAAGCTCAGCATGTGTTGAACTAGTGCACGACGGCCACGCAAACAATACAGCGAGGTCTGGAGACCTGGCATTGGCATTCCGGTCTGGGCATAAGCAGGACTCGGTGTTAATCGTGCAGTGCTGTCCGAAAGCTGATTGGTGTTGCTTGCATCGACCAAGCGCAGGCAATTGTACAAATGGCTGTGTCGCCAATGCAGGCAACCTTGCCGGACGTTTGTGTCTAGCACTGGTGCAGACAGCTTAGAGCAAGCGAATCCTTGCAGGACGAATACGTCGTCGCGACAATGACCTAGCGTGTTATGCAGTTATGCTGCTGTGCCTCCGAGCATTTCCCGAGTCGCATCCTGCACGTGTAGTGCCAAGTTGCGCCCAGGACAGTGGATTCGGCAGGAGTTATGCGGGTACATCGGCTTTTTGTGCGCCCACGACGCGGCCCACAAGAACAGAGGCATTAAGCTATTATTGCGGTTGTGCTTCGTTGGCAGTGTTCGCGCAACAGATCGTGGTAGGAGTGAATCGGAAGGGGCCGACATGTGCTTCGTTGGCAGGCGAAGGGTTACCAATCCGGATGAAGAGAAGTGCGAACCCGCGGTCACTTCTTCGCATGGACTTGCAATCAGCCAGACGGGCAGCCTGCATGCTCTGGAATGTTTCGCAGAGTTTCTTCCCTGCTCAAAACATATCGCTGCATCCTCAAGCCCTTGCAGACTGCATCGCATTGCCATGGTGGTCAGTCCGGCTTGGCCTGCGGAGATCTTGATGCCCAATGCCGCCTCTTGCTTGCAGTCATTAATTAATTAATGCGCAGCATTGTTGACCTTTGTTCTCGGAAGGTCTGGCAAGAAACTCTGCCCAGTTGCAGCCAGCCCAGGTACAAAGTCCGGGCAGAGCACAAGACCCAGTGACACCTCGTCAGCGGAAGCAGGCAGTGGAGGGTGCATTTGAGTTTTTTGCTTTCCTGCAGCCGAACGAAGGGTTTGCCGCGGTTGCTTGTGCAGTCGATTTATGCATCGTCTTTGTCAATGCATGGCGCGCTCGTTGGCGACAAGAAGAACCCTATGGTGCCTCGTTCGCAGACAATAGTGCGAGGATGCTCAAACAGAAAGGAACCCCTGGTCAGATTCCGAGAAGGGAAGGCCTGGGCTCCCTAGATGGTTATGGCTGAGACCTTTCGACTGTGCATCTGCCACAGGTCCGAACTAACTCTGCAATGCGGGCTCGTCCTTGTCTTGCTGAGTAGGAGGGAACAAAAACTCGAGAGATGGCAGCTCTTAAAACCAAACCACACATGCTTGCCATTTCTTCCCGTTGGTAGTATCAAGACAAGCTTGCAGCTGCTTGCTCGGCAATCGATCGAGGACCCATGCCGGCAAATGCAGGTAAACGGCGACATTGAGAAGGCCAGCTATGTGCTAGCTCATAGCAGTTTCACATCATGATGGGAAAAAACTGTGCCCCGCATTTGTCCCAGTATTTTCGCCGGGGTTCTGCTTACTGTGAAGGCAAGATCGACTCAGGAGGCCAAAGCGCACTTCAACATGCCGAGCCCTCGTGATTGCAAGGCGCGCATCCGGCCTGACGAGCGATGCCTGTGTTGAAGGTCATGTGACTGTCTGCATATGTCCTGGATGAGGCAACCATGCTGCAAGGCTCCTTGGCAGTGTCAATGACACCTGGCCAAGCAATCCCGCCTGACATGTGCCAGAGTGCAACTTAACCATCCACAGTCTTCCAAAGCTTGTTGTGGTTTCTTGCGCTTCTGGCTCGAAAGGTAACTTTACGACTAGCGTGGTATGCCGTATGCCCCAAGATTTATCTCATGACGGCAGCTTCAAAACCTCTGCTCAGCAGCTTGCCCAGGTAGCGGAGCTGTCCAAGTGACTGATGGGTCCCCGTTACTTGTGCAGCAGTCAAGGCTGCAGCTACGTAGAAGAACACTCGAAACCGCGTAATGTGAGGCGAAAAGGCCATGGATCCCCCAAGAAGAGCACAACTGTGCAATTCTTCATTGACACTGTCCGAGGCTAAGCTAGTAGCACATCGTGACACGGTGCAGTTTCGTGCAAACGTCCATAAAACAATTTGAGACTTTTGAGGAGGAACGTCCTGTGCAACTTGGCCGATACTGTGTCCGGCACTTGGCAATCGTTGTCTTGATGACGTCGACGGGCCTCCAAGGCAAGCACAAGCGCACCGCCGCTCAGTTGCACCCTCGTGTGCGCAACACCACGGTTGCACCCCTCAGCCACACGGGCAGGTTGATGGACATACACAAATGAATGCAACAACAAGCACACTACACAAAGTTATAAAACTATAGAAACTTGTATGACTCTTGTATGCATTTAAATATACATACATGTATATATACACACACATTATATATATATATACACACATACATACATACACACATCTCTAAGTCTGTGCATGTGGCAACTTTTCGTCTCTCCAGAGGTGTCGACCTGAAAACCAAGAACGAGTACTGGACGCAGAGCTCCAACATGAGCTCACTGGATACCCGTGGTGAGCTCATTCGGCACAAGGCGCTATCGCCACGGCGGTGTGGTTGTCTGCGAGGGATAAGGCGGATTGAAAGCCCAAGCCAGGATGCACGAGACTCCTGGACCCAGCTCAGCTGCAGCGAACTCTCCTGAGACCGATCCACTTGAAGTCAAGTCGCAAAAACTATCATGCACCCGACCTGCATGTTCTGATAGCGCCTGAGGCACGGAAGCAATGCGACATGCAGTCACAAGTGCTCGGCGGATCTTCGAAGCCTTCGCCGCTCGAGTGCTTACTTGTAGGAGTTCGCGATGCGGATTTTTCTCGGCAGCCATATAAGGTCTCAGCACGTGCCCAGACTCGTGGCCCGGGCTGGCTTGTCACCACGCAACTATTCGTTGCAAGAAATCAGGCCGATTTTGCACCGAATTTTCCAAAAGGATTTTACTCACTTCGACAGGTTGCCACTCAGCCATCGTGAGCACAAGGCCAATGAGATGGTCACTTCAGAAGAAAGCCAGAGGCTCACTATATAGCCATAGCAAGTCTCATGAGGTTTGTGTCCTCGGCATGTTGAGATACTATCATAAACCAAGGTCCGCTAAGTGCACGCGGGCCTGTGCGGCCAACCAAGTCGATGAGCCCTCGGAGCACTGTGCAAGCATTTCGCTCCTCAGATGGTAAGAGCGAACGCAGCTCGCCGTTGTTTGCAGTCTTGAAGCTGAAAGATTCTGATTTTCGAGGTGACAGTACCAACGATGCATCAAGGCGAAGCAACAGTCAGTTCACTGATCTCAGGACCACACATTCACATTCTGGTGAAGACATGGGCAAGACATGAGCGGCTTGAGGGACATTAGTGTTCACGCCAGGAGCTTTGAGATGCATGCGGCTGCAAAGTCGCCTCGGCGCAGTGAAATGTATCTTCTCCGAAGATTCTGAATTTCAACTAGCTGTGTGATCACGTGATCATGTATTGGTGCAACAAACACAAACCGTCAGGAGCGTGACTGAGGCATGATGCTGCCACCACATATTGGGCGAACAGCACCACAGAAATATCACGCAAAAACGCGCAGCGCCAGCAGAGCCCGAGACCCAGAATCGTTGGTTTTGTTGCAGTATGTCGGGGAAGAATTGCATGCCAGGTTTGCAGTTTCCATCAGATGTGGACATGTGATGACATATGTACTTTGCTGGAAGAGACTCTTGAGGCGTGTGTGTAGAAGCCGATGCCACTGCACGTGATGTCGTTCGGTCACCCAGCTCGCATATGATTCGCAGATTGTTCTAAACTCGCGAGTGCTAAACTGTCTTAAAGGATCCGCCTTGAGCTACTGTTGCTCGCTCACAGGGATGCACGGCTTGCATAGGCTTACTGATACTGTATCTCACCGAAGCAGTGGCATCCCCTGAAGAACGATCAGGTGCTCGAGGTTAGCCTGTCTGCACCAGAGGAGATGAGCCGAAACCATTGGACCCAGCCTTGCAGTGCACAATAAGTTCTCTCCCCGTAGAAGCCCATTTTCCGTTTAGATCTGCCTTTCGGCGACGGTGCGCCCAGCAACAGCTGCAAACTTCAAATTCTCGCGATCTCACAACACTGCGTTCACCAGCCAGGAGAACCACTGCCCGGGCCTCGCAGGTGCCTACAAGCGGCAGCCCAGGACCAAATGCAGACCCAAACACGACACCGGGAGACTCACGCAGGCACTTGTGTTGGGAAAACCTGTTGAAGCATAGTGGCTGTGCACCCCGAGGCAAATCCATGGAGCCCAGACGCACTGTTGACAGGGCCAGGCAGCCTGTAGGTCGGGGATGTTGACCCAATCGGGAGGACTGCATACCGAAATGTATTTTGCAAGTAGAACACGTCGTCTTGAATGGAAGGACTTTCCATTGCCATGCCACGCATCAAGACCAAACCAGGGTTGCACAGACTTGAGAACACACTGGGGAAAGATCGGAAGACTATGTTTTGTTTGTCATTTCCCTTTTCTGAAAACCGTGAAACTGCGCTTTAGTTGAAAATATGGTCCCGCAATTATGTAAACTTCTTGCACTCTAGATGTTTGGTGTTTGGTGGGTACCTGTACTATACATCTCGGAGGAAGGTTTCATTCATGTAGGGCCGCATTCACTGACCAAGAACATGAAGCCCCGGTTCTTGTTCATTGGAAGCTGATGTGGCCCGAACTTCGGACCCCGGAGATGGTGCGCCGAGCGCGAGCACTGGCGTAAGCGAATCACAAAGGAAACAGGCCGCAAAACCCGGTGTCTGACATGCTGCTACGTCTGCCCGGCGCACATCCTCGGAAAAACACGACTCTCGCTGCAAAGAGCGCTCGCTCCGGTGTGAGAAGCTAGGCCAGGCCGTTTTGGGACTGGCTCGGGGCCTCGTGGTCTGCTGATGTGGTGGATGACTTTGTAGGGCCGCCATAGAAGTGTCCCCACCTGAAGTGCATTGAGGACGCGGCGGTGAAGTGGATGCAGAGACAGCAGGCCGTTCGCCAAGTGAGCTGCCACCGACGCCGAGTAGGATCAGTAGGAAGCAGACACACCAACAACCGCCGTTGCTGAGCTAGGAACTCTGATTCACCAGTCATCACCCAGGCGAGCCATGAGTTGAGCAGATTTTAGAAGGAGCACAGATGGCATAGCATAGCCCGTCCCGCGCAGGTTGTGTGAGGAGAGCGAGCACGACAGAAAGATCTGGAAGGCACCTGGAACGTGCCATGTTTCGACAATTCATTCTGGGCGCCTGCAGGACGAGCGAGTTTGCGCATCGCCTGCTACCTAGTTCCGGTGCATCAACATGTCAAGTTGCGTGGTTCTCGCAGATGGCAAGGTCCGGCATGCAAACATCCGCAGAAATCGCTCGTCGAAGGCCATGTCTCACTTGGTCACCAGTTCGTGATTATCGGCCCAGCACCGGGAGAGGCGGGAGCTTCAATCGAGCAAGTCCATGGGAGACTTGCCTTCTCCAACTATGTCTGCATCGGAGCGAAAGAGAGTTTGATACTCAGCATTTCCTTGATGCACTTGCGACGCCCTCATGTGGCGCAGATGAGGTTGATCTGGCATCCGGCCAAGTTCGCTTGGCTGCAGGAATCCCGTTGAAGAAGCACGACGATGGCAGTCCTTCAAGCTGGTTCTGGACCAAGCCTGTCATCGCTGGTTGATTTGCCTTACACGGGGTCACGGAGCCATGTGACACCCCGAGGGCATCTCCGCGTTCCATGCGGGCCACGGTGACGCAGCCACCATGCACGAAGTCGGCTGTTCGAAACCTTATGTCTCTTGGATTGCGATTGTTTGACCGCGATGTGCGTCCGAGCAGAAACTGGGAACTGGAGGAACCAGCCGAGCATGTCAAAGTCTTGGCCTCAGCTGCGAAAAACGAAGGCTGAAATGCAGGCAATCGGCAAGCATTCAAAGACACATCCTGAGAAGGTTTCGAAACCTGGAGCCGGAATCGCCACAAGCGCGGAAAATCCAAGAAGCTTGGCAAGCAGCAATGCCCTGGATGCCACGTGCACTCTTCGGATTTCTTCAGTGTTCCTGTAGTCAGTGGGAAGAGTATCGTAGTCGGCTCTTCAGCACCTCTTTTTGAGAAGTTCTACCCATAGTTTCATTGCCTTGGGTTTGCCGAGGAGTGCCCAGTGCCCGCGATTAAAATGCAAGGCTAACGAGCGCTATGCTCACACAGTTTCGCTTAATTCATGATGTGAGAGGTCCAAGTAGCTCTATGCATGAAGTGTTTTGCGTGCGCGGTTTGTTTTGCTATGGGTTTAGTGCTGCATACGTGTAGGCTTGGCAAGCATGAATGGGGGAAGTGCGCGAAGCATCCTAAAGTCGCAGAAGTTCACGGTGTTTAGATCCAAAGAGACTCAGGCTTTGTGGCACGTCCAACACAAACGAGAAGTTACGCGAAACATGCAAGGGGGCACATATTCAACACATGTGGGTGCATGATGCAAACGGATCGAACAGCCAAGGCACCATCTTTCTTGCGATCCTGCAACAGCAAATAAGTTCCCACCAACCGCTCCAACAACCAACACAAGGGAAAAGCAAGTATTTGCATCCATTGCAAGCGGGAAGTGAGTATATTAAGTAAACAATGGTGATCCAACTCGAATGCGCCAGGTGGACGAATGGACAGCATCCAAGATCAGCCGGGGTCAATGGGGATTTGTGCGACATCTGGAATTCAATGGTTCAATGTTTACTAGACATGTACGCCCTGCACCTTACATGCGCTATTCAACTTGATCTCAAACCGTAGTTGTAGGGGACACATCGCTTATTCGAGACATAGGACATCCACCAAGCGTCCTGAGGGTCCCAAAGCTCTTCGCAACTCCTGTAGAGTTGCAGGGCCAGAACGATAAGCGGAGAGGCGGCCAAGCTTTGCCAAACTGCTCCCGCGCCCAGGAACAAAGAAGCAGCTTCGCACTTCTTTGAGTGCTGAATGGTTTCAGAGGTGTGTCCTGGTAAAGGCCAGTAGCTTCCTCGAACCACGAGCAGCGGTGTGCTTCGGTGTAGTTTCCATGGATGCTTAAAGCAGCCATACGAAGCTACATCCGCCTGATCGGGTAAGTAGCCGCGGCAAGTTTCTCTCACAAGTGGCTCTATGTAGGAAGCATGGATCAATCACATGGCCTGTTTTGGAGATTGTCGCGTTTCTGAATCTCTACACTAGGTGGCGCTGCCTGGGCTCAAAGGTTTTCAGGCAGCGTTATCATTATCTGTGGCCTGGAGTAGTTTTCCACAGCAACTAGCGTGTCGCGCTTGTGGCTGGCCGCTGATTATTGGTTCTCGGACTCATGCTGTAGACACCTGTGTAGCTCATTCAGCCCAGTGCAAGCAAGAAGTGAAGCGCAGCATCCACTGCGTTTTTTGAGAGGTGCCGGTGCCCAGAGCAGCAGTGCTTTTCAGTTGCTCGTCGTGGTTGTGATGCTTCATTCGTTTGGAACGCGAACGGTCCAGTCTGTGCAATGCGTGAAGTCGGGCATTTCGGTTTAGGCACCGTGGTGCTATCTGTTGGGTTCAAACGAAACGCGCGGCCTGCTCCCCACGAAATTTAGCAAGACAATGCCTAGGTTTACGGTCGCAGCTTTGGACAAGTGGCGCGGAAATAGCATCCAGGAAGATCCAAGAGCCAATTTTCAACGGCGGTGTTTCAGGTGGCACTTCTCGGGTGCAGCAACGTGCACTTCCAAGGCTGTTGCGCCTCAGCCCACACCAAAGGTGTGGTGCAGGTGAGCACCTTGAGAATGCAGAGCGTTAGTTCGCATCAACTCGAAAATTGGATTTGATTGTCAACGTTTACAGAACTCACAGGGCTAGACTAGACGTGTTTGGGTTGGTTTCCATGGATATGCACGAGACCGGACGGCAGTGTTGCCACGCAGGGTTTCCAGTCACCTGGGATCGCCGGCGAACATCACGGTGCAGTTCAACTTAGTCTCTGCCTCAAACAACGTTGGCTTGATGTCGCATAACGGCAGGCAGGCATGCAGCTTCGCAGGCCACACGAGTTCCACTGACAGATGGAAACCTTAACCAGTCGTCCCAGCCACACCTGACAGTCCAAGCCACAGCTTCTGCAAGGCCTGTGAAGTTGACTTTCATCTTGAGCTAGCTGATTGCACTGAGGCTTTCATAATGACCTCAACGCAAGGCGTCAAGTACTTCGTAGCAGGTGATTCGGCAGTGCCCTCGTGGTGGAGTCTGTGTGGCTCCGTGTTCAGATTGCCACGACCAGTGCTCTATCAGCCGTTCATCCGTTTGATTGAGGTCGGATGGATTTCGGCTGCCGGCCCAACAGTGCAAGAGAACTTTTTCATGCTTAGATGTCATCACCTTGACTCAGACAAGCCCATCGTCCTCAGGTTTTCACCCGGAATGGAACGCTGCACGGCAGGCTTGGGAACAGATGTGAGACATCAAACAGACCTAGGTGAACTGCATGCAGTCTGTGCAAAGCCGTCAAGTGGGGGTTGAAAGTCCAAGAACTGAAATCAGGCCCAGTAGCGCACATTTTCCATGACCTTGTGAGCAAATCGGTTGCGAGACCTAGCGCTCTTTGATGCTATCTATATCTGGCTATGCATCTTGCTAGTGCAGCACGTCGACCAAGCAATTGGCTGGGTGTTCGAGGAACCTCTCGGCATCAAGCCACATGTGGTGCGGGACGCGAAACTTTAAATCTGACTCCCGAGCTGCCTGCAGCCATTTCTTGAAGAAGTTCACACAAGCAGTGCCATGCTTCAATGGGCTACGGAAACTTCTGTAAACCGTCTTAAAGTGCACCTCGGTTGAAGATGAGCTGGGATTTCGACGAGCTGGACGGTCTTGAAGCCAGCAGGGCCTCTCAAGCGTTTGTTCCAAGTGGCGCGGCGCATTCACGCTCGGTGCTTGGGGGTGGTCACGAGCCTGAGATTGAAAGATCGCGTCGTCGCATTGAGGCCTCGATGCATGAAGGTTGGCAAAAGATTTTGGGCCTCAATCTACGCAAGCCCGATTCTGCAAGCGTGAGGAAGGCCTACCATAGCCTGGCGTTGCTACATCATCCTGACAAAAGCGGTTCGCATGCAGACATTGAAACTTTCAAGATCGTGCACAAGGCCTACACCGATGCTATGGCAACAGTGTCGTTACAGGAGTCCACTTCTCTCTTAGCTGGTGTGACGGGTACAGGATGTAGTGCATCCGACCACGGCAGAAAGTGGCCTTTGGGTTCTTCTTGGTCCAAGGACAGGTCCAGCTTTGAACACAGTCCGTGCAGAGAGCTAGGCATTGCGCTCTTTTTGCCCAGATGCCAGGAGCTGGTTCGTGCAGCAGTGGACGAATGGGAGCACGACTACGATGACGGCAACGTGAACTCCGTGCCCGATTGCATTCCTGAGGTTGAAGCCATTGAGCTTGCCAGCTGGCTCCAAGCCGGAAAATGTGTGGCGGCGGACTGCCGGGAAGCCATTGAAGCCAAATACGAGCGAAGGGAGCCGCTGATCCCGAAAGCGCTTCGCGTCGGCTTTGGCGACTTGCGGGCCCTGCCGCACACTTTGCTGAACGATCTGTCCCAGCTGAGGCGCAGCGAATACCACATCGTGGTGTTCTCCACCCATGGCGGAACAAGCGGGAACTGCGGCACCTTCGGCCCAATCCGGCTGAAGTAGTTCGCTGTTACGGAGTTGCAGGTGCGCAAGTCAACAAATGCTGAGGTATGTGCGCTGCTTTGCTCATTGATCCGGCCTTAGCGTTGCCTTCGAGAGTCAGGGGGTCGTGAATTTTGCATGACATGCCATGCTCACAACGAATAATTAGAAGTTTGAAGGTTCGCCTCAGGCAAGGGCTATTGGGTAGACTCGCCGCTGCTTCAGCGGTGGAAGTGTAAGTAAGCGATTCTCCTGCGGGCGTCCCAAAGCTCCTCATGCTGAGAGGGTTTCATGCCGGTGGGCAGTTGAGTTGTCGCCAATTTTCCTTAACAAATTGGATTGCACATGGGAGGGAAGTTTGCAGGATGGGGTAAATAAAGGCTGGCAAGTCATACTTGTACTCCATGAAGGAGTAGGTTCGTACTCTCACGCCAGCCTGTGGCAGATGCTCGCTCATCGTCACTAGGAAAGGCGAAGGCAACAAGGCCACGAAGAGTTTGAACGCTCTTGTCAGCCGGGTCCGAATACCTTGCCTGGACTTGCCAGAGCAGTTTGACAACATAGCCTGAACATGTACTCATTTTCTCGGGCACGAGCGGGTATGGCAACTGTTGGCGGTAACGGCTTGATTGCGGCATAGGTGCTGTTGCGGAAGAGAAGCGAAGATGCGGAAATTACGTGGCACTCTGCAAGACTCCAGCTTTGCCGAAGCGTTAGCTTGCACCTCGTTCGGAACCCAAGGCGCTATGCGAAAGCAAGACCTCCACCGTAGAGTACAAGAGCTGACTGAAACCACTGATGTTGGTCCGAAACCTTGGAGAATCTCGGGCCAGTCAGGACGTCTTTGGATTCGATGCCTCACGAATCTGGCGATTGGAAGAAGGTCTCGATGGATGGATCGCCTGGGCCGAACCTGGGCTGAAGCTGTGCTAGGGCCTGGACCTGCTAGGACTATTGTGGGCCCAGGGCAAACAAAGTTTCAGACAAGCCGGACTCCCAAGACTTGAGCCTTGTAGGACCCGCAAGGTGTGTTAGTTCGAGGGGAGCACTGGGGATCTTGGGAACCTTACAGTAGCTAGACCAAGCAAGCACGAGTGACGAGAAAAGAAGTGAAGAGAAGTGAGGAGAGGGTCGCGAGGACTGCTCGCAGCCGAAGCAGCCCTCAGCAAAGCAAAGCAAAAAGAGAGAGGCGTTTGACTTTGCAATCGCAGAACAAGTGCTTGTCCCATGCACGGCTTAGCACGACACACCATTGTGGTGCGGCCAACTAGGGCTGTGAGACGAACTCACATCGCTCAGAAATCCTCCCACCCTGGGTTTGGGGGGGACCTAGCAGGTGAAGCATCAGTTGACCGAAGTCTGACGTCGCTGGAATCAGTCCATAGCTTGAAAGCAAAGGATGTAACAATTCTCGTTGGGGTTTTATGAAATGTGCGATGGCAGACTTTAGCCTTGACCCCGGTCATCCGAGCACCACCACTGCCAACGTGCCTCACCCGAGGGGGCTGAAGCGCGATCCGGGTGTGCTGCAACCCGGGATGAAGTGGGGCCCGCGAGCAAGAAAAGCGAGGTAGTGCCCACTTTGCCCCCAAAAGCCGATATGGCATCCACCTGATGTCGTGCTGCATTCACAAACCTTGAGAAACACATCTGCGCCAAAAGCTTGACACGGAAGGTAGATGTTGTTTTTCCTCTGTATCGGGCAAGGCTGACCAGCAGATGGGAGCAACAGCCCCTGCAGTGCCTTTTGCAGGTGCCAAAGATGAACACACTCCTGAATGGTTGCTCGATCACGGCAAGGAAATGGCAAGTCTACGAAGATGGAGCCGCTAACTCTAGGTTTACGGAATTCCGGAGACCCGGCACAGGTCTAGCCTCCCAGTGACATGTGATGAAAGCCGGATCACTGCGAGTTACAAGGAAGCGCAGCAGTTCTGCGCAGTCTTGCTGGCTGTCTCAAGGAACGAGCGATGGCATGGTGTATGCACCGACCTGGCAGGTACGCGAACTGGAGCCAGAACCGGGTTGCGCTTGAAAAGTGCGGTCGCAGGCGCGCTGTCAGAGCCTTTGCCGCCACTCTGGCCCCTCCCCTCTGTTAAGGAAATGGGCTTAAGATCCGCCGGAGAGTCAGTCGGTTTGCCCGGTTTGGGGATCCATGTCAACCAGGAGTCTGCCCACAACTTGAAATACGTGTCAGGCTGTTGTTGCCACAGATTGTCACATAACTGCTCCAACCCGGGGATCTACCAGCTCCTGGCCAAGATGCCGAAGGAGCAGCGGTGCGAGATGTGGGGGGTGTGGCTTTCTTGGCTGGCAGAGTGCCGAGAGCAGCTTGCAGCTCAGAGCCGGTCGAAAGCCCCCGACGACGGGGGTGCGGCTTCCCGTTCCTGTGGGGCGTCAATCGGGTCGGCGCCTGCGGCCAACTCAACGATGGAGGTCGATTGCTCTGGCTGGCGCATGCATCTTCGGGCTGCGATGGAAGGCGGTAAAAATCTGCTCGCAATATCGTTTGTATTGATCTTCTTCTTCATGACGCGTGAAAAGTTCTCCATGTTTGCCTCTCAGTTACGTGCGGACTCGAATGGTTTTAGGCGCCAGGCGTCGTGCTCGGCTGGAAACTGTGATTGGGTGTCCCTCTCGGGGCCGTCAGTCCGTTCCGAGCCCTGCATGCAGATATTGATGGCGTGTCTATGTGAGTTCGCTGCAGCTGCGCTCAGGAGGCAATGTTGAAGACCCAGCATTAGCATCCATGGCATAGGCGTCCCGACCCTATATATACAAGCCCTGCTAGTAGAGCTGGTGTGAGCCATGGTGCTGAGAGAGAGAGAGAGAGAGAGAGACTAGACGCACAGACGCGAGCCATGGGGCAGGCCTTCGGGCCAGGGCTCCACGCGCTTGCAAGCAAGCAAGCAAGAGAGACCAAGGGAGAGTTGCCGAGCATCAACAGGTCAGTCGGTCAAAACCTCGGGGCCCCCGTCCTTTACGGCTGTCATAAAGGATGGAGGGAACCTGTGCCTGAGGCAGCGAACCCTTCCAGCCAGATCAATTTGCTGTAGCGCATGATTCCTACTTTGAGCAGTCGGCCGGGCTTTCAGCGCCTGCAGCAAAAGCGCCTTGTCACTGCCGGGTGGTGGGAGAGACATGCAGTGTCAACCCAACTCAGTGAACTTGCAGGATTCGGGTCAGCAACAGCCTGCCCGTCCGTGCCCTACTGAAACCGTCCGGCACAGCGGAGGCGCTTGCTTCAAATTCTGGAGGTGGCCGGTATCAGTGCGCATCTTGGAAATGTAGTGTATGTGGACGGCCACCAGCGCGGCTCTCAGCTAGGTATTGCACACCACGACACAATCTAGTGTTTGAGTGCAAGGTGGGGGTTCATCGACCTGGAGAAAGCGACTGTTTGGCTGGCATGTTGCACGCTGTTCAGCGTACGGTCGTTCCGAGAAGCCTTGAGGCTCGGAGCTTTATTTGCCACAAGTGCGCCTCTCTGCCTCAACGTGAACCAAGACTTGCTCATTCCCGTTCTTGAGACTTGAGGCAACCATCGTGCATATCTGTCGGCGCCGTCGTACAGCCTTGCTAGCTTGTATGGCGTTGCTACAGGGCAATCAATGTGCTTGTGCTGGAAGTCTTTCGGCTCTTTGTCTCGTTGTTGTTGCCGGGGGGGAGCTGAGTGCACGGGTTCGTGCAACTTGCACCACCCGTGAGCATCCATCTCTGTGCTTGCTCCACCGCGAGCTTGGCAATTCTGCACTTCCTGCCACTGCCCGGCCAGAACTGGAAGCCGTCAACTTGTTGTCTCATGCAGTCTCGACATCAACAGCCCAAACAGAGACTTCAGCAGGTACGAAACTTCGCTGGTCCATGCGGCTGTTACAGATACTGCTCTACAGCCGGGATCTGTTGAAATTTAATTTAAGTACGCTGACAATCACTGTTCGTATTGTCGTAATCGGCGCAAATGAGGTCTCGTGTCATTGCTGCAGATCAGGCACGGATGCCGTCGCACAGATCATTCCATGAAGCATGACAGCTGAAAGAGTTGTCCGAACTGGTTCAGGATGGGACATTGTGGGTTTTCGCGACTCGCGACAAGAGAGACTGCAAGGTGCTGCTGTATGCGAGGTAGTAAAAACAGCCACAGAAACGAAAAACATCCTTCAGGTGGAACATCGCTTTCCCAGAGGGGCAGCACGCACACCTTTGTCGTTGTCCTCGGTACATCTTCCGAGTTTATCGCACAATGGAAGTCATTGAAAGTCCACTGTTTGTCAGCTTGTCAGTTCAATCAATTGGTAACAGGTTCGGGGCTTCGCTTTGGCTTTGGAAGCATCACGAACCTTCAACGGAAGGTCAGAGGCCGCAATATCCTTGTCAGTCAAGCGCTTCCATGCAAGAGATCCTACACGAAAGAGTGCGAGAGGGGCAGCATGTGAAACCTTTTTGTTGTTGTTAGCAGCATGGACTTTCGGGCAGATGATCGCCTTCAACATGTCGCATGTGGGCAAGGGCCGCACGCTTAGCACACCCGCGGATCTGCTCTCTGTTTCCAACGCACCCTTGGAGTTGCTTTCATGGCGAGGTTGGGATGATTCAGTCTGCGGCTTAAGGTTGCAGCTGGGCAGGTATGTTTCACTGGCTTTCTTCGGCAAGCGACGAACTGCCTGTGGCACTCGGCATAGGCCCCTTAGATTGCTTGCGCACATCCAAAAAGAAGATAGATGAATATGAAGGTAATTGCCATCGTGTTCGGAAACTTGCTAGGCGTCTGAAGAGCTGACCGTGTGTTGGAAGCCGGTGTGTGATCATTTCGAGTCGGTATGCACAGAGGAGACCTTGTGTGATTGGCTTCATAAGACCGACGATTTGAATGGACAAATCCAGAATGTGCTGAGCATCCGGCTCCTTCTCAGCCTTCGGGAAGTTGCCCAGGCGTACCCGCTCGTGGCAAACCACAACGCGCTAGGACTTAGCCAGGAATAGCCAGGAATAGCCAGGAAGCCTTGACCAAGGCCCACTGGGAGGAACCTGGAGTGTGGTGGCCCTCAACCCAAGGGGTGCCGGATGGCTTGGTCTCCACTCCGCCCCCACCGAGACTCGCAAGTTCTTTCACCAGCACCCGCGTTTCGACAGCACAGCTTGGCTTTGCGCAGTTTTTGTTGGCTGAGTTGGTTCCTCGTAGAACGTGTCGGCCCGCCACTGCCGAACCTGCGAAGGTCCTGTCTAGCTTGGATCCTAGCAGATGCCGCTTGATTGTCGCGTCGTCGAAGATGTAGTATCACTAGAAAGTGTATCTTCCATCTTATCTCCGATCTGTTTAAGAAGGTGTTTTGTGTGGGTGCTCCACATAAGAGGAGCGGCAGTGAAGCAAGCCTGTAACACAGCAAGTCAGCGACTGAGACAATGCTTCGATCTCGCTTTCAGTCTCTTCAAACTAGATTCCTACCCTAGCATACATCATCAAATTAGTTTCCTACGCTAGCATGCATCATCCTGCACCTCATGCAATCGAGGGGAGAAGGCAACAACCAGCAATGTGATACCACGCCGCCCATTTGCACATCATACTCTGAACAGAGACGTCTCCCCAAACACACGTGCCCGTCTTTGATGGGTCTCCGCGAGCACTGTGCTGCTTGTATATCCTAAAAATCCCATCTATGATTGATTGCGAGGCCCGGGATATGTCTCCCATTGCCTGGAGAAAAAGCAGCCGACCAGTTCGCGACTGGGTGTAGCTGCCGTGTTTGTGAATCGAGCACGCATACCCACCATACCCTCACGTGTCATTGATCGTCGCCGAGTTTCCTGACTCCTGTGGGGTCGCACAGTAAGTGTAGCGTTCTTGCATTGGTGACTGGCGTCCTCCTGAATCGAGCGAGTTTAGGTGGAAACCATTTTGGCTGTGCTCCCGTATCCTCCTGAATCTCGCCAGTACATGGACCAAGCATTTTGGTCGTTGTCAAGACGCTACAGTACTTGTGGAAACATTTTCGGCGGCTTGGCGTCTCTCACCGACCGATATTGGGAAGTAAAGTTCTTAGACATGCTTAAGGGCCTTCAAGGTGTGGGGTTGTTAGGGCGGACCTCTTCGGGTTTAGCGTTGTGTTCAGGGTTGCAAGGTTTAGTAAACTCGGCTTGGGGTGATTAGGGAGAAGAAGAAATGATGTCCCGAGCGATGTCGTTCGAACTCGAACGGAGTTAGAAAGTTCGAAGGATTGAAGTTGAGGATTCAAGCTTTCAAGTCCTCAAGTTCCGACAGGTGCTTGCAGTTTAAAAGTGCTTGCATTACGCTTCGAAAGTCGTTCTTTGGACCTCGACTCGCTGCTTGGAGATCAAGCTCCCAGCTTTGGAAGCCAGTAGGTTGGCTTAAGGTCACTTCCTGGCTGGCCGCAAAGGTCATGAGTTTGACAGTTCGAAAGTGTGAATGTTTGAGACATTTGGAGTTCTAATTTCTTAGTGTGAGGGCTTCAAGTTTTGAACGGCATGTGTCTCGACAGTTTGAAGGTCTGAAGCTGTCGAGTTCGACAGTTTGACGCAAGTTCCGACTTTGAGAGTTTGCGAGTTCGAAAGATTGAAAGTTCGAACGTGTCAAAGAATGAAAGTCTGAAAGGCCGCAGCTGGTCCCCCGTCGCAAACTCGCCCCCTCATTACGTGATCGCGGTTGAGCTCACATTTTTAGATCTGACCCCTCGTTAGACGGCAGCACCTCATCTCGTAGATTGAGCCCGCCCACTCAGCACGCGATGGCGGTTAATTTCCTGTGTCAAATCGTCCTCTCGTTAGGCGAGTGCGACCAAAGATAGCTAATGTCGCACCTGCTCAGCTGGGCGGGTGGGAAAAGTTAGGCGAGTTTGGTTGATCATGGTGGATCTCGTACCTTGATCCCGTTCCGCCACTAGATGTTTTTGCATATCTTAAACCCGACCCCTCGCTAGACGACGGCTTGATAGGACATCTTGAACCCTCGCTCGATAGTCCCTGCGATGACGCTTGAGTTCGTTCCTTAATCCGGCCCCTCACTAGGTAACTGTGATTGATCCCATATCTTACCCTCGACCCCTCATTGGGCGATAGAGCATCTTCAACTCACCCCGATGGCAGCTGATCCACTTTTTCAAGCTTGCCTTGTGATCGAAAATCAGGTACATATGATTTTGCTTGAAGTAGGATGTTGTTAAGGGTTTGGTTTAGGCTGTTCTGGCACCCTTAGCTCCAAACACGGTTCTGGAAAACAGCTAGCATTGCCCCGAAGAAGTCCAGCACTCTTGCCGGACACCCAGACTGAAGACGAAATTCATGGACCGACTTTTTCGCTCAATGGCTGGGGCCGGTGCGAAGGATCGTCTGGCGCCACAACAAGAGAAGCGAGAACAAGACATGTACAAGTTGGTCACGGAGAAGCTAAAGTTTCGGCATATGCTAGAGGGCAGTGGTGTGCTGGTCGTCATAACGAAGCTCAAAAGCGCCGCCCACGCCGGCACAGCTGCTTGCCAGAACCTTGGCATTCTCCGCTACGGCCATCTGTGGCAAGAAAGCTGGAGAGGAAGCCCACGCCGATCAGTGCAGACGAGTTCTCAAGAGGTGCACAGCAAGTTCCAATACGTTGCCCCCCGCAGAGCAAGCCGGCAGATGGATCGAGTTCTTGCGCAACGTTTGTTCGATTTCGCCACCGGGCTTGCCAGGCGAATGTGGGAGAACAGGCAGATCAGGAGCACAGGAAACCGCCGTGAAAACGATCAGGCTTGAGCTTGTCTAACTCTCTGACCGTCTGTTCTGAGTCGCGATCTCAACCGCCCCAGACGAGACATGAAGCATGTTGAAAACCATCAACATTTCCTGTAAGCAGGGACCCCTAGTGGAAGGGGGGTTAAGACGTTCATTCATGTTTTAGGGGGAAGGCAATGAGGGAGGGGCGGGAGGGATTTGAGCGTGCGGCGGCGTGATGGCCAACCAGTGAGAACTACTGAAACTACTGTAGGACAATTGTGCAAGGACATGTCTGAGTGATGGGGTGGTATTTGCTTGGGATTGTAGGTTCGACACAAAGGCTGCG